AAGTTAACATATTTTACTGCAATCCTGTTAGAAACTTTACCCTCCTGTCTGAAAAAATTAGTATTGATTGCACTGTCTTATGAATGACTGGCTAATCACACATAAATGGGCAACGTAAGTATGCTTTATTTTCAATTGTTTTATTTTCTGATATCTGTAATAATTCATGTGGCTTGAACTCAAGCCTATTTTTTTGAAGTTGCTTGCTATGTTTTTCTGAAAATGCAAAGGTACGACAAGATTATTTTTATTTGTTGAATGCAGGATGTGTCAATGCTTCATCAGATTGCATTCACAGGTTATTTTCTTCTCCTCTGTTATTTGAATCAGCTCAAAATTCCTGAGAGAGTGTAGGAAGATGAGTCATGATAATGTTCTTTCATTGAACACATGCTGCACTTTCTTTTTTTTTTTTTTTTTTTTTTTCGAGACTGAGTCTCGCTCTTTCACCCAGGCTGGAGTGCACTGGCGTGATCTCTGCTCACTGCAACCTCTGCCTCCGGGGTTCAAGCAATTCTTCTGCCTCAGCCTTCTGAGTTTCTGAGACTACAGGTGTGCGCCACCACATCCAGCTAATTTTTGTATTTTTAGTAGAGACAGGGTTTTACCATATTGGCCAGGCTGATCTCGATCTCCTGATCTCAGGCAATCTGCCCACCTTGGCCTCCCAAAGTGTTGAGATTGCAGATGTGAGCCACCATGCCCAGCCCATGCTGCACTTTCTAAGAGTTAGGGAACTTTGCCACAGGTTTCTTCATACTATGGCAACCACTACTGCTCCCTGATCATATAAAACCCTGTTGGGGCGGCTGGACCCAACACCAGGCCGTGGGAGCTACGAAGTCCGGCAGAGTCAAAAGAATGAGAAAAGATAAGTTTAAGAGTGCATAAAGTGGGTCCAGGGGGCCAATGCTAGTATGGAAGCTGTGAAGGCCCCGAGCTCTGGGAGCCCACACTATTTATTGGTAATCAAACAAAGAAGCAGGTGGTAAGGATGTGGGGGTTGAAAGGAAGTGGTGCATCAAGCACATGATCTATAGCTGTGATGGTTTAGTATTTCCCTTGAAGCACATGGAACATGTTCTGCTACTTGAGATAATGGGGGACATGTTCTACTTTAAGATACAATTGTTTTATGAGCCTGGGAGTGCTAGAAGCGAGAAGCCAGCAAGTCTAGACACACTCCAGAGGCCACGAGGGGTTTTATGCCCTGAGCCTTGGATTCCATCCAAGCCATGAGGGGTTTTATGCCCTGGGCTTAGATTATGGTGCACAGGGCAGCCTTCCACCCTTTGGCAGAGAGCTTGGCATTCCAAAGGCCACGAGGGGTTTTAGGCCCTGGACCCTGGATGTCTTCCAAGACTCTTTTACATTATGTCAGATATGCAAGCCCTGCGTCACCTTTTCTCCCAACAAATCCAACCTAATAATAAGAGATATAACAGAAAAACACATTTATTTTCATGATGAAAATGTTCTTAAAAGGAAGCAATCTGTTTTCTTGCTTTATACCACTTTAACTTCCATCCAACAAAAATTTTCTCTAATTATTTTAATGCATGGGGTAAAAGGATAGATTTTAGTCAAATGCCTAGACATACAATGGTGACTGCAAATAAACAGCTATTGTTTTGATCCTTATCTTAGAGTGACTCTGGTGGAAATATTTACAGATGAAATAATGTGATGTCTGAGAATCTCTTCCACTTACTGTGATGGGGATAGGATGAGGTTGTGGCAGGACTGACAGTCTGAGGCAAAGTGATGGGAGCAAAGACTCCCATTATACTATTTGGTCTATTTTAGATGTGCCCCAAATTCCTCTCATCATGATATTTGTAAAAGTGGCCTTTAAGGATATATATGCATCACATTTATATAAATGACACTCATCATTTATAAGTGAGGGAGCTAGACACAGTATTTTGTGGGCTATTAAGATAATTGGAAGGTTCTGGATGTTAAGGTGCACCTTTGCAATAAGGTGTCATATTGCAAAGCCAGCTGTGGTCTTGTCCTGATGTGGTGCTGAATGTCCTGCAAACTACTAGTGTCTGTCTTGATTCCTTTCTTAGCTCTTCAATTCCATCTTGGCATAGTTACTTTTCCTGCCAAGAACAGAGTTCAAAGAATGTTGCTTATTTCCTTTAAAAGTTTTCATCTTTCCCATTTGATATGGTTTGACTGTGTCCCCACCCAACACTCATCTTGAATTGTAATCCCCATGTGTCATGGGAGGGACCTAGTGGTGAAGTGATTGGATTATGGGGGCGGTTTCCCCCATGCTGTTCTCGTGATAGTGAGTTCTCATGAGATCTGATGGTTTTATAAGTGTCTCACATTTCCCCTGCTAGCACTTCTCTCCTGCTGCCATATTAAGAAGGATGTGTTTGCTTCCCCTTCTGTCATGATTATAAGTTTTCTGAGGCCTTCCCAGCCACACAGAACTGTGAGTCAATTAAACCTCTTTCCTTTATAAATTATCCAGTTTTGAGCAGTTCTTTATAGCAGTGTGAGAATGAATTAATACACCATTGTTCACAGTAACAGGTTTTCAACTTGATTAATGAGATATCTATATGTTTATTTTTCTAGTTGCTGTGTAGTCAGTATTTATCAAAAGTATAGGTTCTTTTTTTTTTTTTTTGAGACGGAGTCTCGCTCTGTCGCCTAGGCTGGAGTGCAGTGGCATGATCTCATTGCAAGCTCTGCCTCCCGGGTTTATGCCATTCTCCTGCCTCAGCCTCCCGAGTAGCTGGGACTACAGGCGCCTGCCACCTCACCTGGCTAGTTTTTTGTATTTTTTAGTAGAGACGGGGTTTCACTGTGTTAGCCAGGATGGTCTCGATCTCCTGACCTCGTGATCCGCCCATCTTGGCCTCCCAAAGTGCTGGGATTACAGGCTTGAGCCACCACGCCCGGCCCATACTTTTTATCTACCTCATTGCTCAGCAAACTACAGAGCCCACCCCACCAGGCCAAATTGAGGCCCACTGGTTGGTTTTTGTAAGTAATGTTTTATTGGAACACAGTCATGCTCATTTGTTTATGTACTGTCTATGGCTGCTTTTGTGTTTAAAAGGCAGAGTAGCTGTGACAAAGAACATACAGTATGCAAAGCCTAAAACATTACTTCTGATCATTAAGAAAAAATAAATTGCTTACCCCTTATCTACCCTATAGTTTTAAGAATCTGTGTTGAGTATTTTTTCTTTTAAATGTGATATATATTTATGGTGTTTGATTTTATTATACATTAATATGCATACAACTCAAAAGAGTTCTATTATATTTTGACAAAATATCCTAATTGCCAAGAAAATGAAAATTTGGCCCTTGTACAGAGGAAGAAAAATATCTTAATTTTATTTCTTTTTATACTTGAGGCCTTTAGTTTCACTTTATTCTACTTTAAAATATTTCCAATGCCATTGAGCAATAGCTAATGAGTTAGTTTTTATATAATCAAAATATTTTCTTCTAAAAGTATCTTTGTAACTGAACAAATGTCTAAACTCCTTGGAATCTGCTCTGACTAGAGTTGAACAGTAAAGGCTTATAAAGCTTGCTTAGTTTAAGAATGTAATTTGGCATAAAATAAAGAAGGTGAGTAAATGCAAAGTTTTAGCAAGTTTAATGTCTATTTGAGCAAAAGGTGGGTCAGTAATTTGAAAATGCATGGGAATGGGTTGGTTCCTTAAGCACTGGTAGAGGTAGAGGCTTGGCATGGAAACAAAAGAAGAGCTTAAAAAAACCTGACAATGCTTTCTTAGGGGGTTATGCTCCACTTAGGAAACAATTTCTCTTTTTGACCATGATTTAGGTTGCATTAGCTTGTTGTTAATCTTTGAAAGGATGCACTTGTGTGTGTGCATGGGTGCGTGTGTGTGTGTGTGCATACCTGATATTAAGTTTTCTAATAATTATCTGGTTAAAGACCAAGAAGATTGAGGAGATAAAACTTCCCCTCACAGTGACAAGTTGACCTGGAAGGGACTTAACCATAGAGTATTTATTTATTTCAACTGGAGTTCTTCTGTTCAATACACACGGTAGCCAGTTGCCACTTGCAGCAGCTTAAATCAAACTAGTTAGAAATCAATAAAATGAGAAATTCAGTTCCTCTGTCTCAGCACATTTCAAGTGCTCATATCCATGTGAGGCTAGGGCTACCATACTGGAAAGCACAGGGTCATGGAGCTTTGCCATCATGACAGAAAGATGATGAATGTCGTGTTTCTGAACTTTTCTCAAGAGTTGGGTTACCAAGCCCCTTCTGCTAATACTTGAATGATCATAACTCAGATTTTAGAAAAGGCAAAGTTTCAAAACCTTGTATTATATGAATTTCACTCCTAGAGAAATAATGTTCAATTTGGAGGTAGAAGCAAGTTTGGCAAGTTGGAGGTAATGTTCTCTTGACTTTGAGTTGATGATTGGGTTGGTAGAGGGCTGAGAACTGTTATTCTGTCTCTTTCTCTTTTTCTCACTGGTTTCCAGCTTTTGTTTTTACGTTAACTCTACCTTTTGTCTCTCTCTCCCCACAATTCAAAGAAAAAATGTCTTCGGGATCACTGCACATGGCTAGAACTGGAATATATTAGGAGCTGATGCCATGTGAATTTTTTTTTTCATTTCCCCTGGACAGTAATATTTGATATTCGGTTGTGGAGAAGGTTTATTTTTTGGTCACTAAAACTAGCTCTAGATATTCTTCAACTTCCACTAAAGTTTGCTTCACAATACTGTATTGTAGGGAAATGACGGAAAGGAAGTGTCATGTTATTCACATCACCATTCCAACAGGCCCACACGCCAATGGTGACATTTAGTGATTGCAATAACAGAGTCAACTGAGAATACTGGTATTTCAGTATTTAACTGCAGAAGACATGTTTAAAACATTATATTTTGAGGGAAAATGGAAGTCCAACTTTTTATTGTAACAAAATTATAAATTTTATTCCAAAAACAAAAATCATGACTTACCTTTTTCTTCCTTTTGAAAAATTTTCTGTCTTTTATTTATTCTTAGACTGTCCCAAGGAACAAACAGCTTTATCTTCTTTAGTTTCATTATGTATAGATGGATAAACTGAAGAAGAAATTTCCTGTGTTAATTTCAAATTTTCGTATACATATTTCACTTATTTGGAAAACTTCTCAGGAGTTACTCTGGGGATAGGATTCTCACTTTGTCTTTTTTGTTGTTGTTCTTCTTCTTAAGAATTTTGAAATTCACTTCTTGGCATACATCACTATGTACCCAATGAATATGTACAATTATTATTTGTCTATTTTTTAAAAAAGAGAAGAAAAGAAAAAGGTTTTAAAAATGTGGAGCTAAGTACCAAAAGAAATACTTAAAAAATTGTTTTCAGTATAAAAAAGTTTCTAACATTTCTATTCGAGGACACAATTTTGTTGGTAAAGAAGAGTCTTATTCACCAAATATTTTCATCATAAATTATTAGTTATGAATAAATATTGAATTCATCAATAAATATGAGTGAACATGAGTGACTCACTGGAATTAATAAGTTGTGGATTCCAGTTTCAGGTTACAGTTACTGATCTTGATTTCAGGGCTATAATATAACCTGCATATCCTGGTAATCATGTATCATACGATTCATATCAACTTTTGGTAGTTGTTTCAATGCCATAGACAGTCCTTCAGGAATGGCCCCAGACTGGTTCATTATTTTTAATTTTAATTTTATTATTATTAATATTTTTTGAGATGGAGTCTCACCCTGTCACCCAGGCTGGAGTGCAATGGTGCAATCTCGGCTCACTGCAACCTCTGCCTCTGGGGTTCAAGTGATTCTCATGCCTCAGCCTCCCAAATAGTTGGTATTACAGGCGTCTCCCACTACATCCAGCTAATTTTTGTATTTTTACTAGAGATGGGGTTTCACCATGTTGGCCAGGCTGGTCTTGAACTCCTGACCTCAAGTGATCCACCCTCCTTGGCCTTCCAAAGTGCTGGGATTACAGGCATGAGCCACTGTGCCCGGCCTGTCATTTATTCTTTATCTGGTTCAGGAGTTAAACTGGAGCTTATTTATGTATTTATGTATTTATTTATTTATAGAGATGATGTTTCACCATATTGCCCAGGCTGGTCTCAAACTCCTGATCTCAAGTGATCCGCCTGCCTCAGCCTCCCAAAGTTCTGGGATTACAAGCGAGAGCCACTGCACCTAGTCTGGTTCATTCTTAAGCTTTGGACGTTTCCCTCTTTGGCGGGCAGGCTGCCAGTCATTCAGTTTCTGTTCAGTTTTTCTAACTGGGAAAATTAGCCTTAGTATTGTATGATTCCTCTAGTCTAGGAGGTACAGTTTGAGGATGCCCTAATTTCTCCTCTTTCCCAGACAATTTCTGGGGGCGAGGGAAGGGTAAGTTAGGTTGAGATGGCTTGAGAGCATAACAAATGAGAGCATCAAAAGTGTCAGAAGTGCAGATAGAAAGACAACAGAGTTTCTATTTTAATCCAGGAACAGACTGCATTTTGGTGTTTACCAAATAGCATAGTTAAAATGCTATCTATACAAAGTGAATTTGCAACACATTACTTATGCAGTTGACCTTATCTCACTTTTAAGGATTCATGTCCTACTGTATTCCTAGACACTCCAGCCTCAAATATTTGAAGATCAGCAATCCCTTTGGCATCACTTCAGCTTTCTTTTCTATAGCTAAATTTAAGAAAAATACATTTACTAATTCTTACTTTAAACACATGGTCCTTAAAACATTTCTATCTGAATCTCTGTCTATCTGCATATCCTGGTATCCATATATTAAAAGTCTGCAATCATGTCCTCTACACTGGTTACATTTGAGGTGAACTTTGGGTATGTCATTTCAATGCCTTTTCCCCCAAGTACTTTACATTTTGTAGAATTGAATAATTTTTCTACACACAATAAAGTCCTTTCTACAATTTAGTTAATGAGTTCTATGATGTTAGATGTCTTGCTTGGCTTACTTTTTTTCGTTATAAATTATTATGTAGAGAATATCTACATTTAAATCTTGGCTTTTTTTTTCACTATGTAGGGCCAAATTCTTTGATATAGAATTGCTAAGTCCAAACCAAATACCTGTTTGCACTTGAGGCATATTGTCATGCTGTCTTCCAGAAATGTGCAGCCTCCGAGAATGCCTTCTTCACTGCCCTTCTGTTGGTGTCATTTTAAAGTGGTTGATCTAGACCTCTCTTCTAAAATAATAATGCTGTCGGGATCAAAAGACAAAATACAGAAATTATAGGTCTCTTTCATTTTCTGTTTATGCAAAGATTGGTTGAAGACATCATTTGGCAATGGAGACGGCGGGGAGGGGAGCGGGGAACAGATAAATAGGTGCAAGCATGATGCTTTTAGATACTCTTCAGTGAGTATCTGTAAAAGTTCTTCCCTGAATGGAAATTTGTCTCCAAAACAGGGTTCCTGTGTCTCTTCTTCTATCACGTTGCAACCTTTCCAAGGACTTTTTTTTTTTTTTTTTTTTTTTGAGACGGAGTCTGGCCCCGTCGCCTAGGCTGGAGTGCAGTGGCACGATCTCGGCTCACTGCAAGCTCTGCCTCCCGGGTTCACACCATTCTCCTGCCTCAGCCTCCCGAGTAGCTGGGACTACAGGCACCAGCCACCACGCCCGGCTAATTTTTTGTATTTTTAGTAGAGACGGGGTTTCACCGTGTTAGCCAGGATGGTCTCGATCTCCTGACCTCGTGATCCACCCGCCTCAGCCTCCCAAAGTGCTGAGATTACAGGCGTGAGCCACCGCGCCCGGCTCCAAGGACTATTTTTGCTTAAACAATATATTCAAACATCGGAGACCACACTGTTAGAATCATAATTATTTGAAATGTACATATACTGGACTAACCAGTTATATATGCACTGTCTTTTTTATGTGCCATAAAACTAAAGTCCCATACATTCATAAGGTAGTGTACCCTATGCTGAAGCCCCTGTATTGTTAAATATACATATTGAAACCCAAAAGGCTCAAAGAATTGACATCATACTTTAATATCACAGACTAACGTGGATCTTCATGGAACCGGAGATAGTGGATTAAGTAGTTTCCACCACCACAAAACCTCGTACGTCTTCTTATCTGGACTTGGTGTCTGACATTTAAACCAGCTAAAAATTCTGCAAGATTTAACAAACAGCTTCCAAAGTGTGTGTGTGTTTTTTTTAAATTCATGATGTTTGCTAATTCATACCTTGAAGGTATGTACTTTACTCAGTGGAATCTCAAACGAGGTGCTAGGAGGTGGCTGGTGATCTAAACACTTTAGGAAGAGCTAACTTAATCAGAAAAGTTTCTAAATTTTTCTTTTTCAGCCCAACTTTTCTTTCATCCTGTCTTGTTTAAAAGATTTAAATTTCTTTAGACTGATGAGGATGGTGGTTCAAGCCAAGAAAGTGTGGGTGGGAATGCAAAGCCTTGCTTTGTAACTAGAATGCAAATGCTATTCTAACATAATTTGAACCTGATTGAGCTGCCCAAATTTCAACCATCCTGGAGCAAAACACAGGAAATCTGTACCACAGCCAGAAAGATTCTCTGAATTCCAAACGGAAACAGAGCGTTTCTCCATTTCTTGGAGTTGTATTGGGCCCAAATGTGTAGCCTAGAAAATAATGGTTAAATGTTGTTTCTGGACCAACTGTTGAGTTAGTTTTAAAGTTTCTACCAGAAAAAAAAAAAATAAAGAGAAAATTACCTACATATAAAAAGTCACAAAATCAAACTGTCTTTTTGGCTTAACATTTTCTTCACATTATTTTATTGAAGTTTGTATTAACTTTTTCTTGAAATGAAGTGTTCTATGGCTTTTGTTCCAAAAACTGTGAGTTTCCTTTCATTTACCCTGCTGTCACAGCATCCAAGAAAGAACACGTTACCATGATTGCAGCCCAGAAAGAATTGGTCCCTTAACTTTTGATAAGAACAAGAACAAAATAATAGACATCACTTTCCTATTTCTTCTTGAGTACTGGACACAATTCTGATTTTTTTTTTACACTCAACCTTCATTTTTGGCTTCAATAACTTGAATTGGTAGTATAAAATATACTAGAATGGCTATAATCATAAAAGATAGAACATAATAAGTGTTGATGTGGATGTAGACAAATTGGAACCTTCACACATTGCTAATGGGAAGGACAAATGGTGCAGCCACTTTGGAAAATAGTTTGGCAGTTTCTTACAAAGTTAAAGACAAATGTACCCTGCGCTACAGCAATTCAACTCCTACGTAGCGACCCTGGAGAAATAAAACATGTGACTTGCACATAAATGTTCACAGCAGCATTATTCCTAAGAGCCAAACAAATGGAAACAACCCAAATGGCCATCAACTGATGCATGGATGAACAATATGTGGTATGCCTATACAATGAAATGCTGTGGAAGTTTGAGTCCAGGCAAGAGACAAACCATGCAGTGGGATTAAATAGGGAGAGTTTAATGTGAAGAATTATGAAGAGTTATGAAAGAGTAACTATAAGACATGCAGAGACTCAACTCTGTTTGGTATTTTAGAGCTCAGGGAGAGAGTTCAAAGGACACACTAGGAAAGGGTTTAGACTTTCCTGGAAAAGGTATATGGCACTGCCACCTAAGAGTGGAGATGTTTGGAGATTTGGCCAAGCCAGAGTTGATCTTGAGTTGCTGGGCAAACTGTGGGCCACCTTCTAGAGTGCAGGTGAGAGGGCAGGTGATCGGCAACCACCGTGTTAGGGAGTCTGTGCATTGGAGTGGACAGAAGATTCAAAGGGACACAGCCATGTGGGAAGTTTGAAGAAGGACAACAGCTTGATGTGTCAGACTCGGAAGGGAATTCTGATTGCTGAGCTGAGGAAGCTGGGGAAATAATATTGCCAGGTCTAGGTGTCAGAGTTGCTGAAAGGCTGCAACCTGGGCTTATGACTGGAAGAGATGCCACCAGACGTCGTCATAACCGCACTTCCGATTTCACCCCCTGAGCCGGAAATTGTAGCCTTTCTTTTGCACTATCTCTCCAGCATCCTCTGCTGAGGAAGCTTAACGTGGTGCTCACGTTAAAGGAGCAGAGCTTCAGGGGATTCCCTTGTTTATCCGAAAATATATTAAGGGGTGCATGGGGAGCTGATATCAATGTGTTATCAGCACACTGATAACAGAAAAATTCTATCCAGCAATTTATAAAAAAGGAAAAAAGTATTGGCACCTCCTACAACATGGATGAAACCGAAGCATGATCCTGAGTGAAAGAAGCCAGTCACATAAAACCACATCCTGTAGGATCTGATTTATGCAAAATGTCTAGAATAGACAAATGCATGAAGGCAGAGAGTAGATGAGTGTTTGCCAGGGGCTGGAGGGAGAAAGAACAGGGTGTGAGTAATAAAAGGTGCAGGGTTTCTTTTTGGAGTGATGAAAATAATTTAAAAGTAGATTATGGTGAAGGTTGCACAATTCTGTAAATGTACTGAAAAAACATTGAAATGTACACTTCAAAGGGGTGAATTTGATGGTATATAAATTACATCTTGATAAAGCTCTTAGACGACTTCTACCATGTAATTAAAATTTTTTATTTTAAAATATTTATTTTCATTTTTGCAGACTGAGGGGTACAAGTGCAATTTTGTCACACTGATATATTGTGTAGTGGTAAAGTCTGGGCTTTTACTGTAACCATCACCCAAATAGTGTACATTGTACCAAATAGGTAGAATTTCATCCCTTAACCCCCTTCCTACCCTCCCTTTGGAGTCTCCAGAGTCTATTATTTCATTTTGTATGTCCATGTGCACCACTATTTAGCTCCCACTTTGTAAGTGAGAACATTCAGTATTTGACTTTCTGAGTCATTTCACTTGGGAAAATGGCCTCCAATTCCATTCATGTTGCTGCAAAATATATAATTCCACCCATTTTTATGGGTGAGCAGTATCTCATGGTGTCTGTGTACTATATTTTCTTTATCCAATCATCTGTTAAAGGGCAGGTAAGTTGATTCTGTGACTTTGCTGTTGTGAATAGTGCTGCAATAAACATATGAGTGCAGATGTCTTTTTATATAATGATTTATTTTGGGTAGATACCCAGTAGTGGGATTGCTGGGTCAAATGGGAGTTTTATTGTTAGCTCTTTGAGAAATCTCCATACTATTTTCCATAGAGGTTGTATTAATTTACATTTCCACCAATAGCGTATAAGTGTTCCCTTTTCTCTGCACCCACACCAACATCTGCTGTTTCTTTATTTTTTAATAATAGCCATTCTGACTGGTGTAAGATGGTATTTCATTGTAGTTTTAATTTGCACTTCTCTGATGATTAGTGATGCTGAGCCTTTTGGAAAAAAAAAAAAAACTTTTTATGAGATGCAGCTTTGTTTGAATTCACCATGTTGTGTTTCTCTTAACCCAAAGAAGAGAGGAGTTGGTAGCATTGAGAAAAATTATTTAGTTAGTGTTCAGAATTTTGTGTCAGCTAGACTTGGATAATTAGAATAGTTTTAGAAGTCATGATGACGCTACATTTATTTGCTTGCAATGTGACTACATTCTAATTTTATTTCTGTTCATTTATTTTTGCTGTTACCTCTTTTCAATAGTTGGATATTTATATGGTACAAATCTCTGGACTCAACATATTAATTTCCATTAAGTCATCTTTCCTCTTCCGGATCTTTTCTCCCTAGCTTAATAGTACACACTGAAAATAGGAGAAATCTAAATCTGTAACTCGTTTTGAGAGTGTTCCTGAAGTAAAAGGGTTGGCATGTGGAGTGACAACAGTAAAAGGCCAGCCTCCTGCCTTTTATCCATCCTTTTTCACTTAGGTGTGAGCTTAGTCTTTCCATCATATCCTATTTACAGACAGAAGAAAGGCTTTACATTGACAACTGCAAGGGCCACGTTAGACTAAGAGAAGGGAGGTTTTCTGTAATTAATAAAAACTGACCCACAGGAGTGGCTGTTTGGTCCAATTTCATCCTGCAACAAACCCAAATCCAATCAGATGCACATGTTCTGGTGTGTGCAGTCTAAATTTTGCAGCAGTGTGGCCTGATATGGAGATAAAGAGGACAGGGACAGATAGACCATGCATCACACCTGCTATATATTATTGGATTCTTATATTTATCAATATTAAACCTCTGTTTTGCCACACAGAATTGATTGTGATGTGTTTCTAATTCCCATAATAGATTTCTTCATTTCC